CTCTCTCTCTCTCTCTCTCTCTCTCTCTCTCTCTCTCTCTCTCTCTCTCTCTCTCTCTCTCTCTCTCTCTCTCTCTCTCTCTCGCTCGTTCGTTCGTCTGTCTTTCAGACGAGGACTTAGCTCCCACAGAGTCGAGTATTGTGCCTTTGAAGCACCTCCTTTTGCGATCTTGTATGTCATCCTGCTCTCCTCTCATTGCGTTTCAAAGTGTTCCATGGGAAGGACGCTTTCAGCGTTCTTCGGTTCAGAAGTGTTCGACTTGTTCGTGATTTCGTTATCTTTAATGCTGCCACCTGTCTGTCGTTCAGCTCCGCAGCTCTTGTTTGAGAACCCCATGCTGGCTGCCTCCCTCCCCTCCTCAGAGGGCCAGCCCACTCCCTCCTCTCAGCCCTGGACAAGCTCGTGTCTCTGTTGCTCGAGCTAACCTGTGTAGCTCGACTGCTCCAAGACCCCCCCGTCCCCGTGCTGCGCGCTCAAGGGCATGGTGGTTAAGCTCTGTGCGGCTATGCACGCGGCACCGCCGCGCGGCTATGGCTAAACCCTAAGATAGTGTCGCTCGCATCACGGGAGCAGAGCGCTACAGCGCCGGCTACCCGCTTCGTCCTTCACCGTCCAGCTTCCCATCTTGCTGCGCTTTCCGGGTCACTCTCTGTTGCAGAAATCTATGTGCTTCGGTTTCTCTGCTCGGTGCGCACTTTGTGTTTGCTCTTTCAGGGGAAAAAAAAAAAAAATTGTCTTCCTTGGCTTTGCAGCAACTTTTGCTTGTGGTATGTTTCTTTTCAGGAAGAATTCTATGCTCCTTGGTTTTGAGTGCGACGGCGGTTCGTGTTTTGCCAATGTCGCAACCTGTGTACTTGAGATTCACACAAAAAAAAACTCCATACTCCTTGGTTTCGCTTCTGGGAATTTTTCATTTTGCGGGTGTGACAGCCAATCTGTATTCACTCCACCAACATACCGAGCCTCATTGTCATTCATGAGCAGGGTAGGTCTGGCTGCCTCTTGAGGGCATGGAGGCAGGCGCCTTGACTCTTTGAGTAAATAAATAAGAGGGCGGGGGAGGGGAGGGGGATTCAAAAATTGTGTT